GCCCGCGCCCGGGACCCAGAGCCCTGCCTGCCCCCCTCCCGCAGGTGCAGCCCCTGGTGCTGCTGCGCCGCCACCAGCACTTCGGGGAGTGGCACAGCCGCTGGCTGGAGGACCACGTGACGGGCGAGGCGGCCGGGCTGGTGCAGGACTGGCTGATGGGCGAGGAGGACGAGGACATGGTGCCCTGCAAGACGCTGTGCGAGACCGCCACCGTGCACGGCCTGCCCGTCACCCGCTACCGCGTGCAGTACAGCCGCCGCCCCGCCTCGCCCTGAGCCCTGAGCGCGGCCTCCCCGCCCCTCAGCTCCCGGGCCGGGCTGCGGGAGGGCGGGGGCCGCGGCTTGGGCGCTGAGCCTTTGCCCAGCACCCGAGGGGTCACTGGGACCCAGCCGCTGTGCCTCGGGCTCGGTCACTGGGCGGGAAGCCCTGGGGGAACAGGCCGCCCGCAGCCTTGCCCCCAACGCACACGTTTATTTCTCTCGCACGTTGTGGGCGCAGCTCGAGCAGCAGCGGGGCCCCGGCCTCCTCGCCTCTGCCAGGCCAGGCCTGGGTCACTCGGTGTGTGAGGGGGCCCTGCCACTGCCACCCAGGGCCCAGGGTGACGGGGGTTGGGCCCTGTGCGCAGCCCCTTCCCCGCAGAGCCGTGCCAAACTGGGTGCCCGCGGCCCCCCAGGTCACCTCGGGCGCCCCTCCTGTGTGGGATGCGGGCGGGCGGGGACGCGGGCGATGCCGAGCCCCGCATGCTTCTCGGGAGCCTGTTCGTTCTGAGAATTTCTGTTCTGGCCTTGATCTCCCTTCGCAGCTGTTTTGAATGTAGTTTTCCTTTTCTATTTATTTGCACATTAAAGTTAAAAACTAAATATTAATGCAAAGCAGAAGCTCCAGGAGTCATTGCCTGGGAGAAAGCGGCCGCTTCTCAGCGCAAGAGCTATGCCCACGGCAGCCCGGGTCCCCTTCCCAGGGCGTCCCTGGCCCTGTGCCCCGCTGCCTCCAAGGCTGAGGAACTGCGTCTTCCAGAATGTTCCTCCCAGTCCTGCCTTCTGGAACATTCCTTCCCATTCTGCCTCTGAGAACGTTCCACCCCACTCTGACTTCCAGAATATTCCTCCGTCATGCCTTCCAGAATGTTCCTGTCCCTTTTGCCTTCTAGAACATTCCAGTTCTGTGGTCACAGGAGGAACTTCACCCTCTTCCCTCAAGTGCTGTGCATGGGGCGGTCTGGGCGGGCACAATGACACACATCACAGTCGCCACCCCACACTCTCCAGCTACCCCCGGTCCCCATTCGCCTCCCGGGCTGGCACGTGGGGCTGCTGTCGTCCCGGCTCCTGTCTCGGCTCCTGTCCCGGCCCGGCCTCTCCCAGCGGGACAGGCTGGGCCGGTGTCCGACTGGCCTGGCCCTCTCCTGGCGGACATGTCCTGCAGAGTCCCCGAGGAGGCAGTGCAAGTCTGGAGAGCGGCTCCCCTGCTGTCCCCAGCCCAGGGCGGGGCTGTGCGGCAGGAGCCACCAGCCAGGGGCAGCTGCGCCCGGACCAGCAGGGAGTGCCTGGGAACACGAGGGTCACCGTGCCATGGAAACATGGTCCTGGAGGCTGGCTCTGGCCACCTCAGTGTGAGCCCTGGCTTCCACCCCTTGCACCCGCAAAATAAAGATCTTAAGCCAGGGGTGGTGACATACCTTTGCAATCCCAGCCTTAGGAGGCTGAGGCAGGAGGATCACTGGAAGTTCAAGACCAGCCTGAATGACATGGCGAGACCCTGTCTCAAAAGGTGTGAGGCAGGTTTTCCAGAGCCCTTCGCAGGTGGCCTTGTCAGAGGGACCGTGCTAGTGACAGTAGTATGGGTTCAGTCAGGCCAGGATGGGGCGGGGTGGGCTTTGAGTCTACCCACAGAAGGCACGCGGCCCCTGCAGGCTCAGCGGCCACTGCGGCTCGGCCCAGCTGCCTTCCTGCATGTTCTACCTAGCACAAAGTCTCAACAAAATGCACATGTTATGGGATGTGCCTGTCAGCCCAGCACTGGGGAGGCTGAAACGGCAGGATCTCAAGTTCAAGTCCAGCCTGGGCAATTTAGCCAGGCCCTGTCTCAAAAGATACAGAGGGCTGGGGATGGGTGGAGCTCAGTATGGAGCCCCTGGGTTCCATCCCCAGGATGAGTTGTGAAATGCTCGTGATGTCCACCGCTTTAACCATCCCTAAGTGCACATTGTGGGATGAGCATGTTCTCACCATGTCGGCAGCGGGGGGAGGCAGGCTTCTGCAGGACGCTGACGCCCCAGCCCTGCTCAGCACCGGCATGCCCAGGGCGGGCCGGAGGGGCTGTGGCCAAGGCGCGCCCTCCCCTTGTCCCTAGAACGCCACGGCTCCAGCCCACATAAACATTGCCTCCAGGTCGCCGCCTCTGCGTGCGTCAGTTTCCTCCCTTTTTAAGGCCAATCCTTTGGCTTTCCTTTAAAAAAGGAAACAAGCAGTTGCCGTGGGAGGAAGCCATGAGGCTGGCGAGGGGACAGTGGCCTGGTCCCCCCGGAACCAGCTGTGCCCACCCACGGGGGTGACACCACAGTCCCCACGGGTGACCCGCACCCTTGCTCTGGAGTCTGTCCCCGGTGTCACGAAGCTGCCCTGGCAAGGGGCCAGGCGGCCTCCTGTGCGTGTTTCTGGCCCAATTCTGATCCCGAACCCTTGGGTCTTGAGGCGCAGCCCGTGATGGCCGATGCGCCCTGCTGGCGTCCCAAACTTTGGTGTCTGCAGGGCACCACTCCCACCCTGGGGTGGTGCCCCCGGCCCAGACCCCGGAGGGCCTGGGACAGTGCGGCCTCTTCCTGGCCGTCTCCCGCATGTAGCGGGAGTAGGGCTGGAGCAGGAAATGACCACTCGGGAACTCCGCCCTTAGTTTCTGTCACTGTCGGGGGCCCGGCCTGGCCACCTGCCCGGAAAGTCCCTGTGGTCACCCAGGGGAGGCCAGAGGTGCTGGAGAATCCGCTCTGCCCTGCCGGGCCTGAGGGACATCAGAGGGACATCGGGACTTGGCCACACGCCCTCCCACGGGCTCACTGGCTGGTGGGCCTCCCTGTGGCCTTGGGGACCAGGCCCCTGCCGCCACGTTATCTCTGCACACGCTCCGGAACCCAGGCCAGGGTGACGAGGCAGGAAGCCACGGCCACAGCGCGGCACGGAGGGCAGCATGCGGGGGGCCCTGCTGTGGCTGCCGGCGCTGGGGCTCAGCCTGGTGGGCAGCGCCCCAACCCCCAGCGTCTACGATGAGGACGACGGTGAGTGGCCCAGCCCTCGTGGGTGGGGGATGTCCGTGACAAGCTGGGGACTGTGCCTGAAAGGAGCGGGGTGCGGCACGGACCCCCGGGCCAACCTGCCGTCACTCTGACCCCCGGCATGGGCCTCATCCCTCCGTGTCACCAGCCAGCTCCGCGGCACCCACCCGGGCCGTGAGTGGGCAGGCGGTGACATCTCAGTGTGGTACCGCGGGGCAGGGTGGGGCAGACGGCTCTCCCGTCCCTGAGCTGTGCCCCTCTCCCCGCAGCAGGCACGCTGGGGCCCTGGGCCGGGCCTGAGGCGGTGAGGACCCCGCAGCAGGCAGCCCCACGCAGCTTCCCGGGCCAGGCCTGCGCCAATGACAGTGACGTGCTGGTGCTCACGCACAGCTCGCGGGCGCTGCTGCTGGGCTGGGTGCCCACGCGGCTGGTGCCCGCGCTGTACGTGCTGTCGCTGGCCATCGGGCTGCCGGCCAACGCGCTGGCGCTCTGGGTGCTGGCCACACGCAGCCCGCGGCTGCCGGCCACCGCACTGCTCATGAACCTGGCGGCTGCTGACCTGCTGCTGGGCCTGGCACTGCCACCGCGCCTCGCCTACCACCTGCGTGGCCAGCGCTGGCCTCTCGGGGAGGCAGCCTGCCGCGTGTCCACAGTTGCCCTCTACGGCCACATGCACGCCGCAGCGCTGCTGCTGGCTGCCGTCAGCCTGGACCGCTACCTGGCGCTGGTGCACCCGCTGCGTGCCCGGGCCCTCCGCGGACGCCGCCTGGCCGCTGGGCTCTGCGCGGGTGCCTGGCTGGTGGCCGCTGTGCTGGCCACGCCGCTGGCCCTACGGCAGCAGACCTTCCGCCTGGCGGACTCCGACCACCTGCTGTGTCACGACGCGCTGCCCCTGGCCACCCAGATGTCCTTCTGGCGGCCCGTGTTCATCTGCCTGGCGGTGCTCGGCTGCTTCCTGCCCCTGCTGCTCATGGCGCTGTGCCACGGAGCCACACTGTGCGCACTGGCGGCCGGCGGCCGGCGGCACGGCCACGCGCTGCGGCTCACGGCCCTCGTGCTGGCCTCGGCCGTGGCCTTCTTCACACCCAGCAACACGCTGCTGCTGCTGCACTACTGGGACCCGAGCCCGGGCGCCTGGGCAGACCTGTACGGCGCCTACGTGCCCAGCCTGGCGCTCAGCACCCTCAACAGCTGCGTGGACCCCTTCCTGTACTACTATGCGTCCCCCGAGTTCAGGGACAAGGTGCGGGCGCAGCTGTGTCGCTGGCCGTCCAGGGCCACCACCACCTCCCAGGGCTCCCGGGAAGTGGGTGACCCAGGCACCGGCACCCGCTCCTCCTCCCACCCCTGACGGCCCTCTGGGATGGCCAGGGGGCGGGGTGACCAGTCCTCCGGACCCACATCCTCCCAGGCCCTCAGGGTGGAGGTGGGGGCCGCCACTGTCCTCAGAGTAAGCTGGGCCCCAGACCCTGTGCCGTGCGTCCTCCGGGAGAGGGGCCCGGAGGCCACGGCACAGCGGAGGCTGGAGTGAGGCGGCCACACGCCCGCCACGAGCCCCGGGGAGCGCCCGGTCCGCGCACCGGGCGGGGCGCAGGCTCTCCGGCTTCGGCTGCCTGCTGCGGGTGGACAGCGTCTCCGTGGCTCTGAGCTCCTACTGTCCCTGGGACTCACCGCAGCCCTGGGAAGACGAGGGGCTTGTTGGCAGGTTCCAGACCCTCCCAGCCCAAGCTGACAGCCAGCCTCTGCCCGGCCCTGGAGCTGAGCAGAGGCCCCTCCTCTTCCTCCAGACAGTCTGCCAGGCTCGCCGCCCCTCTTCCCACCCGGAGCCCGCGCCTGTCCTTCTCCATGCGGGGGAGGTGCACAGCAAGGGACCCCTGGGACTGGGGACACCCAGGCTGGGCTCGCTAGAGTCGTCATGCTTGAATTAAAGGCGTGTGAGACACCGGGTCGTGTTCCACAGTGAGCGGGCGGCCGTGGGGCCGGGCAGGTGTGGCGGGAGCGGGAGGAGAAGCGGCGGCGAGGGGGAGGCAACAGGGAGGAGCCCCCTCCCGGAGGGACGCCTGGGAGCTGCGCGCAGGGTGGGGAGGCGGCCGGGAGGGGGCGACGGCCAAGATGTGGGGTCCGCGCCGCAGCCTCTCTCGGGCCACCATGCGGCCGGGGTCGCCAGGACCGGCCTGGGGGAGGCAGCGGGCGCGGTCGTCCTAGGGCCGGGACTGGGGGTGCTCCCGCAGGGCGGGCGGGGCCGTGGGGAGTGGCGCCTGCAGCCGCCGGGCCGGGAAGGCGTCGCGGGGACCCACAGTCAGTCCAGCCACGCCAGTGCCTCCAGTCCTCCCGCCCGCCGGCCTGGACCAGCGCTCCGCCAGCCCCGCCCCGCCGCCGGGCGCCACCCGCCCCGTGTTGAGACAGGCTCTTACTAAGCGGCCCAGGCTGGCCTTTAACGCGCGCCCCTTGTGTCTCAGCCTCCTGAGGAACTTGGACGACGCCGGCTCCTGGAAGACCTCGAGCTCTGGCGGAGAACGGGGCGCTTGGCTCAGGGTCCCGTGTGTCTGTCCCGGCCCACCTCGTGGGCACCGTCCCCACCCTGCTCAGCCTGGCAAATGACAGGGACCGCACTCCTACATGGCCGAGAAGCCCAAGAGACGGTGACCAAAAGCCCCGCCCCTCGGCATTCAACCTCGCCCCGGCTCAGCCCTACAGGCCCCACCCCGTCCTCACCTGCAGGGGTCGCTCAACCCCGCTCCCCACGGCGCACGCGAGGGCGGCACCTGACACAAATGGGGTGCAAACGCAGTGCTGGGACGTTTGTCCTGTAGGCCCGTCCAGGAGCCGCCCTGCCCCGCCCACCCCTCCGGGGGGCCCCAATCTGCTTCCTGTCCCGGCAGACTCCCGAGGCCCGGACACCTCACATTTGTGTGACCCGCACTGCGCGGCCTCGCACGCCTGGTGCTGTCACTCAGGCCCGCGGTTTCCCATTTTCCTGAGGTACCGAGCCCCCAGACTCCCTTTCTCTTCGCCCAGCTGACGCTAAGGCTTCTCCTTTGGGTGCTGCGCTGGGTTCAGAAACCTGGGCCTTGTTCGTGCCAGGCCAGCCTGTAAAATCCTGAGACAAGATCTAAAAAGCTGGCTATCCTGGGCTTGAACTTGTGACTCTCCTGCCTCAGCCTTGTGAGCAGTTTGGACTCAGGCTGTGGCATAGCGCTTACCTCTTCCAGTCTGCAGGAGGTGGCAGCTCTGTCCTGCCCGTCCCAGCAGGATGCTCCGCCTAGGCACGTGGATACCTGTGGCCTCGAGCTGCGGTGGGAGCTGCCCGCCCATGCTGTGGGGTGTGGACCCTTGGCCGGGCCCACTCTGGCTTGCGGCCCAGAACCCCTCATGCTGCACCCAGCCCACTGCAGCTTCACATGGACGGGGCTGGGTCCCAGGGGGCTCTGAGCTCACAGTGGGCAAATCCACTTGTGGCCACCAGGCAGTGGTGGCTTTTGGGAGGCTGGGGCAGGAGGGTCAAGTGTGCAAGCACAGCCTGGACAACCTAGTAACTTAGCTGGCTGAGCTCTGCCCAGCCCCGTCCTGAGCCAGGGCAGAGGGCACTCTCGCTGGGTGTGGGGCACGCACCTGCAGCGCTCGGGAGGCTGAGACAAGATCCAGTTCAAGGCCAGCCTGCGGTACACTCGTTAGACAGTGAGATGGTCTCAGAGACAATCGAAAGCCAGCTGGCCCCGGCGCTGGCCCGCAGGAAGCCCTTCTTCCTCACAACCAGCTCGTGCTGAGCCCCTGGATTTCCGGGCCTCTGCACGTGTGAGGCCACATATACTTGTTTTTAATAAACTAGTCTCAGACTTCCTGTCAGAACAACTGGACCTGGGCTGAGACAACGGCCACGGTCCTAGAACGCAGACGCGCACAGGGTGCCGGCCAGGTCTTGGGCAGTGCCACCGCAGCTGGGACCCAGGGCTGCTGGGCCGGGGGTTGAAGCACCCGTCCTGTGGACATCTCTAAAGCCAAAGTCATGGGAGGCTGGCTGGGGCTCAGGGAGACCCTTGCCGAGTGTGGCTGGGCAAGTAACTGTCGTGTTCCAGGCCGGTCGGGGAAGGTGGAGGGCGGGGTCCTGGGGACAGCTCTAGGCCTCAGGAGGAGCCTCGTCTTGCACAGAGCCCTGCCGCGGCCTTGGGAGCCGGGACAGAGCAGGCTGGCAGGGCCCCTGGCGAGGGGAGCAAAGGCTTCCACCCGCCTGTGGACTGAGGCACCCGCCTGGGGCTCGGCGCGGCAGCCCAGGGGTGGACGCGGGCGGATGGGACAGAAGGTAGGACGGAGCCGCGCCAGGAGACGGCTTTCCCAGGCCCTGCAGTACTCCGGGGGGGGGCGCTGGTCCGTGTCCCGGGCACCTGTCCCCGCAGCCGGCACCCCGCATGCCCCCCAGCGACGTGATGTCCCGGAAGTGCCACGCCCCCCTCCACACTGTCCCTCCAGGGAGAACAGAGGCTCTGAGCACAAGTTCCTTTTTTAAACATGAGACAGAAACAGCCGAGCTGCTAAGTGGCGAAGTCCTCTCCGGCGTCCCCACACAGGTCCCCTGCGGGCAGCCAGGGCCTCCACGCCGGGGGCAGACAGTGCATGCCCTGAAGGGGTCCGGGCTCAGCTGTCCCCCGGGGTCCCCGCAGCACTTGTGTCGGGACTGAAGTACCAGTGGCCGGCGGTCTCAGCGCCCTGTGCGTCCTCCCAGGCCTCCTGGCTGGCCAGTGCCGCCTCCTTGCTGGCCTCTGCCGACAGCTCCAGCACCTGCGTGAAGCTCCTAGGGGAACAGAGAAGGTGAGGGGGAGGCTCCACAATGGCTCACCGGGGCACGGGGCCAGCAGCGGCCAGGCAGCGGGAAAGGAAAGGCTCATCTAGTCAGCAAACCCTGGTAGACGAGCTGGGCCATACCTAGGATCCCAGCATTCTGGGAGGCTGAGGCAGGAGGATCACAAGTCCTAGCCCAGCACGGAAAACTTAACTGACTTAAGTGAGAAGGCCCTGGCTTGGACCCCAGTTC